TGATTTTTTTAATTATCCGACCAAAACAAACTCACCCCCCAAAAAGTGACTGTTGCCAAGCCCTCCCAGCGGCCACTTTTCAAATGACATCCCTCACCTTCCTGGGGCTCTTCTGACTAATTTTCAATCCCGTTTTTGTCTGCTTTGCCCCGAGATGGGTGCCCCTGAATCTACAGAGATGATTCTGGGCCATACCGACACAATCCTACCATTTCTTGGCCCAAACAGACCCCTCTTTTCGAAACAATCTCTGGGGGGGGGGTACTTTTTGTGCGCCTCGGCCCGGCGGAAAATTTTCCTTGAATTGGGACACTGCACCCGTCACGGTAGACAAAAATAAACCACCAGTGGGGCCGAGCCACGGACGTGTATAATAACACTGGACTCGAAATGCCCTTAATCAGCTTACAGAGATCATTAAATCCACTCGCGGCCATTTTACCGAGCTGAATACAAAGCTTTCCTGGCAATGCCCGCCTTTGTTCTTCCTGACGTCAACAGAAGGGAGCCAACCCACGCATTTGTATTTGGCTTGGTAAAATGGCCGCTGGTTGGCTTCTTCATACAAAGGCGTTGCAAGTCCTGGTTTTTATACGTCCGTGGGCTGAGCCTCCGTGATATGTGGCGGCGCCCAAAGGGTGCACCACAACAAATAAATTCCCATAGACAACAATGATAAATCCCCATACTTCACAATTATTTTAAAAATATTGTAGCGTGTCCTACTGATAGGGTTCTGACGCTTATACAGACACACACAGCTAGCCACAAATCGCCGTTCCGGCCAAGAAACCTTGGTTTTATTTTTCTTATGTTACAACACTGTGTCGATCCAAAAAGCTCTAGACACGAGGCATTCCGGCGGGGACTGCGCAGGCGCGAGGCGGGAAAACCGCGGGCCGTTCGCATACCAGCGGGGGCAGCCAGCCAACTCAATGAGGGTCCAAGCTGGCGCCCCCACCGGCCGCACCCGCCGGCGCTACAATATTCACAACTCTTACAGGTGTCCAGGCTGCACAGAAAAACGATAATCGAGATGTCCCCTTTCATTTTCCTTTCAATTTTTTGGGGGTTGACCAATGAACTTTTGAGAAATTTTCACCAGAAGCAGACCACCCCTAAATTGAAGAAAATGTCCCTGCCCAGAAAAGTAGCCATTTTGAAAAAACTTCACTCTGCAAAACGGCCAAATAGTGCCACTTTTTGACCCGATTGCACCCAAATTGCTCAGAATTGGGATCCCAAAGTCCGGGCCAGAGTTTCAGTGCCATATTTCTCCGATTCCTCAATTTCATGGTTCTCAGATCAGGTGAGAGTTCTGAGATCAGGTGTTGTTGGAGCACACTGCGCAAGTGTTCCGCGAAGCGGTCACCAAGACGACGCTTGGTCTCTCTGATGTACAGTTTACCACAGCGACGACATGTTACGCAATAAACTACATTAATAGTAGTGCATGTATGATCCCCG